AAATTTAGCTGGACAAGTAGCTTTTAGGTTCAATACAAGTTTCGTATAGTATCCGTGTATGCTCAGCACCTAAAAGTTAGAGTATAGTTTGAAGAAATGGATCGGTAAATAATCCAGTGACTTAATTGCACATGATATCGAGATGCCCAATATGTGCCACTTACGAGGAAAAAATGGGTTAAAATACCTGAAAATGAGACGAGTTTAGAAATGAAATCTGAAAATAGTTTATAAACTAGTGTAAATAACAACATAATGTCAGCTTCAATTGCAATTAGTCCATCCAAGTAGAGAAGCAAATAATTTATTTGACGATTGGTTTGATCGTTATCATTAAGAACGGAAATCATTTGTTCATTAACATGTCTCAGTTCAGGTTGACTTAAAGGAAGTTTACTGAAAAGATATTTGATCTGGTCAATGATGCTATCAATGTGGGCTATTTGAAAGGCAAGCAAAGCCCAAAGATTAAATCCAATAGAAAGCAAAGAAGAGCAAACCGTTATTAATGCGACAATAGCAATAGGAATATGAAAAATCATGAAAAAGATGCGCTCTTTGGTTGCATAAGTGGCCGAAAAATAGAGACGGAGCATTATTGTTAATGAAGTTGCCCAAACACAAAGCAAGATCAAGGAACGTATTCCATTTATCATCAGTATATGACAAATTTTACTGAATATCCGTGAGCATCTTTCATTCAACTTTAAGGGTTCATACGTAACTCCATGAATACGAATGTCAACGAAAGATCTGAGTGATGTTAGATAACCGGAACGTTCGATGTAATGAATGTATTCACGGAGAGCAAAAAGGATGAAAATGGTAATGTTTGTCAATGCAAGCATCGAAGTTTTACTCGGTGTCACATCTTCGGAAATCAAATTAGCCAAATATAAATCAATTTTGTCATTTCCTTGGTAGCACATGAACAGACTTACTCTTGTAAATGTGTAAATGACTGAAATACGAGCGATCCAGTTTGCTATCCATACTTTTCGAGGGATTGGCTTATCATATTCTTGCTTTTGTCCACCACATAAACTAACAAGAAATAGTTGATTCAGATAATCGAAACGAGCTAAAGCCTGTCTTGTCTCAATATCTGATTCACCAGTCCGGCCAATCAGCTTGTAGAAAAAGCGCTTTAAATATCGACGGAGGTTGCTTAGCTTCAGTTTGCGAATCATTTCAATCATTTGTATACGGGGGAATTTTGCATTTCCACTATATTTTTGAGACAGTTAACTGCGCAAGAAAAAAATTTTGATAAGAAATCAGTTTCATCAAACTAATATTAGATTGATCTGAATTACTTCTTGATCTACTGACTGAAAACTGTTTACTGTTTTGTAAATATATTTAAATGTTCATAATCACGAAAGAACGATCATTATAAATTTAATATCGAAGGTACTAAATCAAAATCAATCAAATAGTGTTGTGATGGAAAGGTTTCGACTGAAATAAAATTGATAATATTGATTGAATAAAGTATTTCGATTTACAACTCATTTTCTTTATTTGCAATCCTTTCTATGATTTTGAACGTGCCCGCTCTTGTCCCTCTTGAATTACTAGGTCAGCCGTGAAGCGGTGTAGTCTGAGCTCGCGTTTAGACTTTGCAACATCAGACCTACGATTGTTTTGGCTCAACTTAGTGCTAATATAAAAATCCTTCGAAAGAAAGAATTTTAGGAATACTTGAAGTGTAGATGGATTTTTTTCTAGCGCAAACATTCGCAACTTGAAAAATACTGATAAATAAGATTATTCTTACATAAAAAGCACTTTATAATATGTTTTGAAAGGTTTGACTTCAAGATAACGAATATTGAATAAAATTTGGTTTTATACTGATAAACCTAGAACGGAAGTTTATTTTTGAATGTCAGACCTTTCTGCACTGCATCTATAGTGAACCCATCAATATATACAAAATTTGATTAAATTTGAACCAGCCGTTTTGCTGTTTTCGTGGGGCAAAAAATTTTTTTTGTGAGCGTTTGAGTGAACACTTAAGTCTTCGCTTCGCTCAGACTAATTAAGTTTATTTAACAAGTCCATCTGAATTCACACTATGAATTCAGCGAATTGATGTTGCATGTTGCAAGCATAATGAAGTTGATGTTTTTCTTGTCTCAATATCGCATTCACCAGTCCAGTCAATCGCTGAAAACAGTCTATTGTTTTGAATTATATCTAATACAATAAATGTTGGTTAGCACGAAAGAATGACCATTATGCATTGAATTTCGAATGAATCAAAATCAAACAAACAAGGATGTGTGTTTGAATCAGTTTGAATTGTCAGCGGTAGCAGTCATATTATTATGATATTTATGATTTCTAATATTCACAGTTGATTAGAACAGTAATTACTTCAAAATTAAACCGTAATCAAGCAACAAATTAACTGTTAAATATTGAAAAGGGTTCATTTTTAACAGTAACAAAAAATTGACATCTAAGAAAGAGAAGTGATTTTGCCTTTCTTTTTACATCCTGTTGACATTAAGTTTGTAAACAATAACAAATGTTGATTAATAATCGTTAACTGTTAATTTCATTACAGTTAAATCAACAGTAACTGTTGCAATAATTATGACAGTTATTCAATCAATTTATATTTTTCTTATTGGGATTGTTTGCCAACATATTTATCTGACCACTGCTAAAATCACTCGCAATTAACTATCATAATTACAGCAACAGTAACAATTGATTTAACTGTAATTTAATTAACAGTAAATGAACATTAATCAACATTTGTTTATTGAAAAAGAGTTGACTTAAGGGTAAACAAAAATTAGGGGAAAAGAAAGAGAAGGCATTTTCCCCTTTCTTTTACACCCTGTTAGTTGAACAGTTAAACAATAACAGCATGAAAAAGAAAGGGAAAATGTCTGTAATTTCTTTTTTACCAATTTTTGTTTACTGTTTAAACAAATCTTTTTTCAATAAACTGTATCTTCTTATTGGTTAACTGTTAATTAGACATAATTCCTGTTCAACCAACAACAGTTAGATGGATTAAATAGTTATTTTGAATGATTGGGAAAGTTTAGATTCGTCCGCAATAAGTCTTTATTGTGTACTTGATTAGCACTCAAAACATTTCAAATGACTGAGATTGAATGAAAATTGTGTTGATTATTCGATATTGTGCGCAAGCTACTTATATTTTCTATGTTGATTAAAACAATGTTCAATTCATGTTGATTGTTGAAAGTTATCAATCATTTTGAATACTGTGATATCATAATTCACTGTTTATTTCATCGTTATATGAACGAATAGCTGGATTAAAAGGATTAATCAAAAGATTATAAATTGATTAAAGGTTAACCGTTTTCAAATATTTGTTTGGTTCGAAAGTGAAATAGTAGCAATAAAATGGATCTATTTAGCTAATGAAGATTTTGAGCTTCATCTTATTATCAGCATTATTGATCCTTTTAAACTCTGATTATCGCACAGTAAGCAATTCAAACTCAATGTGTGATTAATTTTTTGTTTGAATGATTGAACATTTTCAAACACAATTGTTTCTTTACGAAAAATCGCCCTCCCAGGGCATTCACTAGTCTTTACAGTTGTATTTTCGACAATTTATGGATAGTTTCTTTTACCATTATAGTTCACCTGCGCAGTTTCAACAAGGAGTCATTGATCATTTTTGCTTATATTTTAAAACTTTTAGTCAAGTCACACAATCATTATTTTGCATTAAACTTTCATTGTTTCCGGTAAAATAATAATAATAAACCTCGCCGCAAAATGCCAAACATTTGCTGCTTTTTCGATGTGCTAGGCTTCCATGTCAATAGCATGTTTATCCCACGGGAGCCATCAATCGTTGGAGAGAATGCCACTCTCCACTCAGCGGTTGAACCATCAATATCGCTTTCTGAAATCTCTGCTGAACAGAAGTGGACTACATCGTTCGAATTGGAGACTTTCATTGGCATACTATACGCAGGCAAAGCTGAGGATTTAACGATTGAGCAGTTAAAATCTTCGGTAAAAACATTTTACGTCAACGCGTGTACGCCTGACACATCTTTAGTTGGATATATGTCTCTCGATGTGGAAAGATTCCTGCGCGAATTGAGCCTTCCACACGTTAAAGTTAATGTGACTCCATCGTTTCAACTGCATGAAACTGGTAAAGTACATGAGTGTGCCCTTGCAAACACTTTGAAAATGATCCGAAATTTCAAATATGGAATGGATTAAAGTTTAATGTAAACTCTGATTGAGTTGTTTGATTTCAAAAATAGATTAAAATGATTTTAAGATAAGCAAATTTTCGATTATTTTCTTTCTGTCCAATCATAGGAAGGTAGTCACGTGACTTTTAGGGAGAAAAAGATAGTATAAAAGATTGCGGAGACACTTTTTTGCTAAGTTTAAATATTTTTTATTACTAATTATAAATTAACTGGGTAGATTTTTTTTAATTTAATCAAATTTTAAATTACTTTTGACTGACAGTCAAATTAGATTTTTTTTACCTTTTGACACCTATTGTTGTCAACTGCAACAATGACTTATGACTTTTGTCACCCGCACCCAAAATTAAATTAGATTGAAATCAGGTCAATTAATAAGGAAATAGAGAGGGTCAAAGGGGTGGACGATCAAGCATTGACCTAATCGGGTAAAATATGCAACAGTTTATCACCACCACTACCACCAGCAACATCAACTTCGTCCAAGTTAATCAAAGTGCGATCAACTAATTTTTGTTTAAATATTTAAAAGTTAAAAGTTTGTAAAATTAGTTAAAATATTGCGTAGAAAAATCAGTGTGAGTGATTCAACGGAATCTACTAGAATCTATCTAACTATCAACTCTATTCATCAAACACACCAAAACCAAGTCAATCATCAAAAAGTAAGTGAAATTTCATTTACAATTTACGATTTTTTCGCTAATTTTGATGAATGCTTGCAAATTAAAAATTATCAATGGTATTATCAATGGACGGTATTTCATGCAGGATGGTCCTCCGCATAGGACTAGAGACGTGTTCGACCTTCTTCAACAAAAATACAATGGAAGAGTGATTGCATATGGCTATCCAAATCATGCAGGAGCTGGACTTGAATGGCCACCTTATAGCCCTGATCTTAATCCATGTGACTATTTTCTTTGGGGTTATGTCAAAGACAAAGTTTATGCAACCCAAATAGACAACATAGAACAGCTGAAAGCTGCCATCTATTCTGCTATCAATTCGATAGACAGCAACACGCTTGCTAGAGTGATAAGTAATTTTTACAAACGTGTTGAATGTTGTCATGCGGCTGATGATGGACACTTTGAAAAACATGTTTAAACTCATTTATCATGAATAAAAAGCGAGAACTGTTTCTGAGAAAATCATTTTTTCTAACAATTTTTTCCATTTTCTCAAGAAAAACCATAGAGGGCAGCACCGAACAATTTCAGCGGTCATTTTAAAATTTGAATCGGTCAAAAAATTTTTAATTTGCAAGCATTTATCAAAATTAGCGAAAAAATCGGATTTTCTATGTAAATTCCCATAGAAAAGTCAAAAATTTTTGAATTTTCGAATAGTGTCCAAAATAATTTCATTTTCGATGCTGATTCCGAAAATGCAATCCGTTTCAAAATCTGACTTTCCAAGACCCTTTTAAACAATTCTAATTGTTTACTTGAATGTTAAACCCATAACTGCGGGAGCCCCTAAGTGTGCCGTATATCTAAGATATAAAAAGCCCGCAACAGCAGGACAAAAGTCAGTGGACCTTTTTACTCAAACTATGTTTTATCCAATGTATCTCGTCGGATAAAGAACCCTTATTAGTTTATTTGTCCCTTGCATATTCGTTTCTTCTAAATCCTTGACCCAAAGTTTTCCTAAATAAAACCCTTATTTTCTACCATAAGACCATTATTTAAATCCTATCTTGTTGGTCCAAGTCTAATAGCCTGTCCACTGTTTAGATTAACGCTGACTACAGTAAAGGTTTACTCTTTACATTCACAGGTTCTACCGCGAGTTAAAACGCTCCAGTGCTACTACATCAAAGGAGATAACAACGAAAGTACTGATAACCGCGGTGATGGAGCTATTACGCTGGAAGCCATCAAGTCGATATTGTCCAAATACGTGGCTTGTACGATCTCTACTCATCGGGACTCTTAGTTAGACCCATATGATGATAACCCTAACTCAGATATCATTACTTTTCTCCGTGATTTTGAAGAATACGCAGATTCATGCAATTGAAAGTAGTAGAAAAAGTGAAAAAGTCTGTAGCACCAACCGTTCGTGAGTTATACCTACATGAAGGCGTAAAATGAAAAAAACGCCCGGTACTCAGTTACTCAAACAAAGTCATTCTTTACCGAATCTTCGAATGATCTATTGGAGTCCTCTCAACATTTATCTAATTATCGGAGCATAGTGAAACGAAGTGAATATTTATACTTCAGTTTAACCATTTTGAAATCGTCTTTTTGAATTCTTTACGAAGACGTACAGCCAAAACTTTTCGTGCAAAAAACTTGAAACTCAGTATAAAATGTTGTTTGCATGAGTTGATATGCAGAAAGAAGTTTCGTTTCCTGTTTTTGTTTTGTAATTTGACCGGAGAGTAGAGAATTAATTTAAACTTGTTAACCGTTGAATAACCTTAAAAATAATTGAAATTATTAGGTTATCATCATTATTCCTGCCCCTAGGCATGAAGGAGTCATTTTAGAAAATTTTTAATCAAAGTAATTGCAAAAGGCACCAATACAGCGTTGCCACCGAATAGGAGATTTGGCAATTCCTGCGGCATACCATTGCTGTGGCTTGTTTTCGAAAAATTCATCTCATCAATTGAGGCATGCGTCTAGCCCCTTAGGAATCTTTTGAGATGTGTGAACCAAAAAAGGAGACGGGAGCTGAGAGCCAGGTCTGGAGATTAGGGGGGATGAACCAGCAGAAGCCAGTTTAGAGCTCTTGTTTTGGCCATGGTTTCTGCATCCTTATGATGCCTCGCATTATCTTGCAAGAAAACCGGTCTTCGCCTCGGTCTTTGTACCCTTCCCGAGCTCAAAAGTTGACCAACTTCATCTAGCTGTCTTCTATATTCGTTGCCCTCAACAGTTCTATAAATTTAGAATAGATGATTCCGAATGAATCCCACCAACACAAAGCACTACTTTTTCAGCCCTTCTTTGCAATCTTGGTCTTCTGCTAACCATATCTTTATCTCGCACCCACCCTTTAGCCTCATTCCCAACGGCAGGATCATGCATGTATACCCAGGTCCCATCCATAGTTATAACTGAGTTTAAAAACGCATTTGGCTGTTTTTTATAGAGCTCCAAAGATTGCTTGCACACTCTCACACGTTGCTCAAAACATGGGGGATTCATTTTGTTGTCAGCTTTTTTAGGCATAAAACCTAACGCAAGATTTTGTGGATGGTCTCATGGGTTATCACGATCTCTGAATATATTCTTTCAATGGAAATCCTTGGATCAATGTTGATCAGCTCCTGAATATCACGTGAAGCGCGCTAATAATCGATTTCCGAAAGCCTTCCCTGCCGGGGCAGATCCTGAGCAGTCTGTCGACCCAATCTGAATTCTCGATGCCAGCGTTTAACGTAGTCATAAATAGGTGCATCATCACAACATGAATCACTTATTTCATTAAAAATATCCTGGAGAGAATCGCCCCTTTCCACAAGTACTGTATGATGTATCGAAATTTTTGGTCCAGCATGGCACTTTTTCGAAAATAAAAACTTGACTATTGCGAAATTCAAAATGGCAGATGCTTTACTCGGGTCGTTTGAGATGGCAAATTCAGAAAAAGAGTCGCTATCTGTCGGAAATTTTGGCAACTGGGCAAGGGGCGGGACTTCCTGGATGACCTAATAACTGTTAATTCTAAATATTTTAACAGTTAAATTAGCTACAGTTTCTGATAATCTTCAGTTTTCTCAGTTGTAATTAACTCTGACAACAGTGATTAGCTTCAACTGTTAATTTTAATCATTTTTAAAGGTTAATAAACAGTTTTTAATTCATTCGATTGATTTAAGATTCAGCAAAATGAGACAAAAAATAGCTTAATCAAATTAGAATTCTATCAGTTTTTATTGTTAGGAGTCAACTGTTATCTTTATAACAGTTCATTCAAAAAGCAATTACTGTAAAATTCAACCGCAATCAATCATTCCTTTAACTGTTTTATTTGTAAAAGGGTTCATCTTTAAGAGTAACAAAAAAGTTATTTTTGCTAAAAGTTTAATCAATAGAAATTCGAAAGTGGATTGATGGAAAGAAAGGAAAGGATTGACGATTGATTAAAGTGTTATTACAAGTTAACATTAATCTCACCTTGAGTTTCTTTCTTTTATATAGATCTTGAAAGGTGCGCAAATGTCTTTCTCAATCGTCTTGTAGTTCTCACTCCGATGATTATGATGATAAGTTAAGGATAAGTATAAAATGGATAAGTTATGGATAAGTTACGCAGATTTTATCAGCTCTTCAATAAATATCATGATATATTTCAGGTTAATATGAAACATTTTGTCCGGATGAAACAAAAGATTTCGGACCTTGAAAACTTTTTATCCGATAGTTCATTGAAACTTGAAGTAATTTTATCGTAACTTGTACGAGGATTAGCATGAGAAACTGTTGCTAAACGTTTACGATCTTTGCTATTGAGTTAACGTTTTTGACCTGATCCAGGCTTACGCTCACAATTTCCAAATTGATTAAGTTGTTTCTTTATTCGGTAAGCTGTCTTTTCACTACACTTACAAATTTGAGCAACTTTCTCAGCATTTTCGGTCACATTTTCAAGAATAAAACTAACTTCAAGTCTTTTTCATTTGTTTAGACATATTGATCACAATTATAGGTTAATAACTGATTGATTAATTCTAATTGCAATTTGATGCATATCATAATTTATTCCCTAAGGTTCATTCTTTCTGCTGATAAAATTTTTTTAAGTTCCGATCAGTAGTTTGGTCGGACATCCCAACGCAACTTACATCCTTCTACTGACAAATTCATTGACCGATACTGTAGTTAGAAGCCAGAATCGTTTTTCATTAATCTGTCACAAGATTGACTTAAAGGAGGTTTCCCGAAAGAGTATTTGATCTGTTCATCATGCTATCCATTTAGGCTATTAGAAACGCAAATCAAGCCCAAAGACATATTCCGTAAATAATCATGCGATTGAAATGGCATTAATCATTTTGATTAAACTACTCATTTCATCTTTTCCATAGATCGTTATAATGAAATTCAGTTGATTGATTTCAACCTTTTCTGAGATTCAAATTTTTCTCTAATTTTAACATGCAAATCAATCACACGATAGACTGAATAGCTTGTCAGGAAGCTAGTTATCATTTATTTCGATAATGAATTTAGTCCCGATTTTGTTTTTCATAATTCAATATTTAACCCAAGTAAATGTCTTTTATATGATTTAATTAAACAGATAGATTCAGGTGATATTGCAAAAATTTCAATTGATCGAAGGTGATATCGATTATAAATTTTCTAATGTAACCTTTAAATCACAAGATCGCATTAAGAAAACCTGTCTACCAATATCGAGTATTTAACAATTACAGCAGCCAGTTATTCAGGTTATGTAAAGTGTACTGGTACTTGGCGCGAGTTTGATAACAACTTATTGCATTTCAACCAAAGAATTGATATTGATCGTTAGAAGCATAATGAAGTTTATTTTTTCCAAAATAAACTGAAACAAATGAACGCAGTGAATTAGCATTTAATCCAGAAAATTGAAACCTAAGAAAACTCACAATAAGAGCGAACTCAGGAGTAATCAGTCCAAAGTCACCGATTAGGATGCCAGTTTGGTTACCATTGATTCGATCTTGAATCTCTAAAGCCTGAGCAAATGTTTTTCATCAATAAATTGTTAGTTTTTTGCATGCGTTTCAGACTAAAAGACAGCACAAAGGAAAAGATTGAATCTTTGAGTGCGATTTTTCGGAAAGTAACGTACCTTGAATCGAGCTGGACATATCGTTTGTGTATTAAAAATGAGTTTCGTATAATATCCATGTATGCTTAGCACCTGCAAGGAATAACATAAAAAATGAGTGATAGTAAATTTCAATATTAACTGACACTTACTTTGAAATAATAACTGGACGCCCAATAAGTGCCAATTACGAGAAATATATGGATCGTAATGGCTCCACATGAAATCAGCTTTGAAACAAAATCTGGAAAAAGTTTATAAATTAATGCAAATAACAGCATAATGTCAGCTTCTATTGCAATCAGTCCATCCAAGTAGAGAAGCAAATA